CATAAACCAAAGGCTACTCTCTCCATCTCACCAATACAGATATCCTCCATGGCAGGCTTGTCATTTTTTGCTTCATAATGAAGTCATTTTATTGTACGCAAGGAGCCCAAGGCATTTTGTACAGCCCATTACTCTTTGCTGCCCACATTGAGATGGCTAATCTGCTATCAGCCAGAAGCTTGACAGACAAAAGGAAAAGGCAGGAAAACAGCATACACAGTTGCACATTCACACACATTCAGCTACAAAGTGTTTCAATGGCAGACCAAAGAACCAACAAGACAGAGGTTTGACTGCAGTTCTACTTAATGCTTCTGTGGTTGAAGGAAGAGGTACAAGTTCTTTAAAGCCAGATAGGCTGGGAAGAGATAAAAAAAAAAAACAACCGAAAACAAAAAACAAAAAAAACCACCCACAAAAATCCCAAAAAAAACAGGGCAACTTCATTAGGATGTCTATTAAGACTATTAAGATACATTAGGGCACAAACCTAGAATGCTTTACTCAGTAAGTGAGTATCCTGGAACTCGAAAAGTTACAAACATCTTTCTACTCTGAGGATTTGCTAAAAGACCTTCAAAATGCTTAAAAAAAAATTAGAAAGATGAAGGAAGGGCAAAGTATAAGCATTGTAAACTATTAAATCAAGACATTTGGCAAGTTTTCAATTTCAGCACTTGTGTTTTCTTACCTGCTCAGAAAAAAAACTCAGATTTTTTAAAAAGATGTATATTCTTTCCTATATCCCAAACTATTCTGACACCATACATATGCAAAACAAATGCAGTGAAATAATTTGCATATCATATATCATACTGCATAGCAAGAAGCTTTTTTTTTTTTAAGAGGTTGGGGTAATTAAATGGAGAAGCCTTGCAGCTTCATACCAAAATAAACAAAATACCCATATTTTCCAGAGTTCTTAATTACCTTACTTCTTTTGTTTCATCTCAGCAGAGTCACAGCAATATAAGCAAAAAGACTTTTTTAGCATCAGATCTACAGGCGACACTTTGCTTCAAATACCCTGTAAGAATTTTCTGTCAGGATCATAAACATCTGTTGTGAGTCATGATTTTGATTCAACCAGTTCTAACTGTATGCTTTGCAGTTGGAAAACTAAATTTCTGCCTCTTGTTTAAACTGCTTTAGCTCACAGAAAGTCACTCATGTCCTGAGGTACAAATCTGGCTCATCCTTTTAAAAAGTCCCTCTCAATCATGTAACTACCACATCAGCTATGCAGGCTGATCCCTGAAAGCATGATTAATCACGTGATGAAATACAGAGAACTACAGCATGTTATACTTCATTATGTGTCACTGGAACTATTTCCCTTTTCCTATGCTACAACTACCAACTCAATTTTGCTTCTCATTTCTGTTTAAATTATTATTTCACTTTAGTGCAGAAAGAATCTCCAAGCATTTTGACTGCAATGTATAACTGATTCTCTCTCATGTTCACTATTTGTTGTGAGACATATTTAGGGTTTCAGGAAAACAGTACATCAGTCAATTTAAAGATCTGGAAAAAGTACAAGGTAAGCCTTCCCATGAAGGTAAGAAGTTGTCAGAATAGCCTCTCCCATAGAATTAGTCTCTGTGATTTTAGTATCATTACAACACTGTTACAAACTACAGAAGGTTTCCTTGTGTTACTATATGGAGCAACCAAGCCAACCTAATAGGTTAAATTATTTGATATAACTATATATATGTGTGTCCACAAAATAAATTCCTATTGTAAATGCAAATTCACTCTCAGCCCTCAGTAGCAAGAATGTATCAAAATAGGTTGTTACAAGTCATTCAACAATCTGTTCCTACCTAAAGTTTGAAGTTGGTAAGAACAGTGTTTTCTTGTTGCCTTTGAGTCACAGAAGTTCTGAAAACCTCCATGAGTCTTGTTCTGCAGGACAAGTACTTCTCTCCTCCTTTGGCCATCTGCAGCACCTCCTCACCTCAACAGCAGCACCACCCCTGGCAGTACTCTGCAACCTTATCTTTCTCTCCCACATGTACAAGGTAAAAGGGAAAAAAATACTACATTTGCATATGTAATTATGGTGTAGTTCAGCAGTGAGCAAAAAATTACTGGAAGTTGAGAACAGATATGCCTGATGACCACACCTTAGTTTTTCAAATGAAAATGCTTTGCAAGGAAGGGGAAGGGACAGCAGTAGGGAAGGAAGCCAGTCATTACAGCTCCAAATCTGCTTGAAAGTCCTTATTCACCACCTCACGCTCTTTGCGGGGCCAACTGTACCTAGGTCCTTCCTGTGAACAATAACCCAAGAATGAATCCAGTAGTATGTGACTAGTTCTACTTTGCTTGAATTTACCAAGCAGCTGTACCAGGAATAATAGGGAAAAAACCCCGCAAGGCTATGGAAAGACATAAACAAAACAGATGACTAAACAGGTTACAGATTCTGAATAGTGTCTCCTTTTTCCAGTCTAGAACTTCACATGACTTATAGCAGGTAGCATACAGTAAATTAAGAGAAAGAATAAAATGGATTAGAAGGTAGGAAGAAGGAAAATCTGATCCATACCCGAAAGGGCACAAGGCAGGAATTCCACATGGCATTGAAAAAAACTGTTTTAAACCAAGTATATTTAAGGAAAACGGGACAACTCATCTTCCTAAGTTTTGGGGCACTAAGAAAAGTTATGTTACATTTTGGGAGGGGAAATGTTAGAAAACAAACAAAAAACCCAACCTGCTTCTTTAGGTCCAATCTACCAGTTTAGCAAAAAGCAACCTGATCCCTGTAATTAAGGTCTAATTTTTCTATTCTTTTTGCACTTTTTCAGACGTAACAGATTTCCCCAGGACATTTTCAATCATGCAACATTTGTGATGTTTTGTAATTTCATACTGCTTTCTCCTATACACACACTGTGGACAGATGTCTCTACAAAACAGAACAGAAACTGCCCTCAGTGTCTGTCAGTTGTCTGTCAGACAGAATTTAAAAAGGAGTGTTTGCTGAAATAATGAAAACCTTTCATATCACAGTGACTGAAGGTGTTCCCTCGTGTCACTGGCCCAAGTAGCATTTGATCCTAACAAGGACAGGCACACCGGTTCATAGGTAAAAATACTCTCTCTACCACATCAGACTCTTTTAACCCCTTTATTTCAAGTGTTATCTGAAAGCCACACTCGGGATCATGGTGAAATGCCAGGTTTATAATCTGTTTATCTCCAATGATCTTGCCAGCTCCTCCAACATTCCTGATCGAACACTTTACTTGCAACAAGCTAAAAAACTGAAGAGCTTGCAGAAGACAAAGGATATCTGCATCAAATACAAAACCATACTTAAAAACCACTACGGAAAACTATGTAGTTATTTAGATAGTTAAGGAAGAGTTGTTTCTTCTGCTTCTAATATACTCCAATACCATATGGGGCTCTTAGCATTTAAATAAGTAATTTTACATGCTCTTTCACTCTAGAAGGACTCCTACTTGTACTCACAGATTTGAAGTAGGTAAGATGGAATGTCATCTCAGCAAGGATAGAATTTATCTATTTTACTCTCAGTCACAATTGAGCCTCCTAACATATCCAGAGGAATATATTCATCATTAGACACATCCATTTGCTTTACACAGTTCTCCAAAAATAGGATAGATTGAACACACTGAAGGCAGAGCAACAAGGGAGATGTTACCAAACAGAAAGTAAACATTTGCAAGGGAAGCAACAAAGGATGCCACTTTTCAGGTTTTAACCTTTGGGTGACAGCAGCTGTTAACCAAACTGCTTCACAACAACAGGGGTAAAGTCCTTACATCAAGGAGATTGTGACAGCTGGGAATGACAGCTGAAAAGGACAGAACTGAAACAGGCTGCTTTCAAACAAGACTGACTTCTCAAAGATGAGAAAGCATATTTTTAGTTAACTTCTGTTGCTCTGAAAAAACATGTTAAAATAAAAGATACAGTAACGGCATCAGAAACAAGCACAGAGCAAGACAGAGTGAAAAAACAAAAACAAAAAAACAAAAAAACAAAACAAAACAAAAAACCCAAACAACCAAAAAACCAACCAACCAAACAAAAGAAAAACAACACAACACAAAACCAAAAACAAAACCCCACCTCCTTTCTTCTCCATTTGGGGTTCCTTTGGCTACAAATGTACAAGACAAAAAAAAACTGGCTAAAAAGTTCAGCACTAACCAACTGAAACATGTGAATCACTGCCTGGCTGCTCCACATGTGAAGATACAAACTTAACAAGTTCCTTCTTTCTGCTCTACCATTACTTCTCCTCTTAACCTATGAATGTAAGCTGCCAGGTACTCACACAAGGAACCAGATGTATAGGACCAAATACAGAAAGAGAAGACCCAACATATTTTTACTGCCTGAAAGGTGATTACATACTGTGGTGATAGGGTTAGTATTTTTCTTAGGAGTCCTAAAACAGATATATAAAGCTACGCTGCATTTAACTGTAGTTAGTATTTCATCGTCAAGTCTCACTCTTCTTGACTGGGCTTTCCATTTTCCTTGACTGTCACACAGGAATACTACTTACCTATGCAAAAAAAAAAAAGAACAAATAGATTATTAAATAAACAAACTGGGGCTCAATACAAAAGGAAAACCGATAAAAACCCTACTCTTCCTTTAAAAGTGGAGGGCAAGCAAAGATTAAAAAGCTGCAACTGTGAACAGTTTTTAAAAATATCCAGCTTCTGTTACCCTTTTCCAATAACTTAAAAATAAGACTCCAGGAACTGGATAGCTAAAAAAGCAAAACCAAGACTAAGAAATACCCATGTACTTGATAATTAGCTCAAGAAATTGAGTCAATCATAGTATAAGAAGCAATGGCAAAAAACTTTCTAATGGAACATGGAAGCAAAAAGCCCTACAAAAAACACACAAAGCTCCCTACAAACCCCTGCCCCAGCAATTCTAGTGTTTCAAGGCATCACCTAGTCAACTGAGGTCAAAGCTATTTCCCAGTGTGATCTTCTCCTGCAGCAGATGGGAGACCAGTTTCTTCACTCCCTGGAAGGCCACCAAGGTCAATCAGATATAAAGTATACAACCTTCAGTGAGAAGCAGATTACTCCCTTCCCTATACTCCATCCTCCCTCCTTCCAACACATGCTATTTGCCTCACCCATGCACCCCTGCCTACTCATTACATCCATCTCTCTCTGCTTTCCATGGCCTGCTTGCTTAGAATCATAGAATCATAGAATAGTTAGGGTTGGAAAGGACCTTAAGATCATCTAGTTCCAACCCCCCCTGCCATGGGCAGGGACACCTAATGCTAAATCGTATCATCCAAGGCCTCGTCCAACCTGGTCTTGAACACTGCCAGGGATGGAGCATTCACAACTTCCCTGGGCAACTCATTCCAGTGCCTCACCACCCTCACAGGAAAGAATTTCCTTCTTATATCCAACCTAAACTTCCCCTGTTTAAATTTTAACCCGTTACCCCTTGTCCTATCACTACAGTCTCTAATGAAGAGTCCCTCCCCAGCATCCCTACAGGCCCCCTTCAGATACTGGAAGGCTGCTATGAGGTCTCCACACAGCCTTCTCTTCTCCAGGCTGAACAGCCCCAACTTCCTCAGCCTGTCTTCATACGGGAGGTGCTCCAGTCCTCTGATCATCCTCGTCGCCCTCCTCTGGGCTTGTTCCAACAGTTCCATGTCCTTTTTATGTTGAGGACACCAGAACTGCACACAATACTTCAGGTGAGGTCTCACAAGAGCAGGGTAGAGGGGCAGGATCACCTCCTTCGACCTGCTGGTCACGCTCCTTTTGATGCAGCCCAGGATACAGTTGGCTTTCTGGGCTGCGAGCACACACTGCCGGCCCATGTTCATTTTCTCATCAACCAACACCCCCAAGTCCTTCTCCACAGGGCTGCTCTGAATCTCTTCTCTGCCCAACCTGTAGTTGTGCCTGGGATTGCCCCGACTCAGGTGTAGGACCTTGCACTTGTTACGGTTAAACTTCATAAGGTTGGCATCAGCCCACCTCACAAGCATGTCGAGGTCCCTCTGGACGGCATTCCTTCCCTCCAGCCTATCAACCGAACCACACAGCTTGGTGTCATCAGCAAACTATCAGCTTTTTTTGGTGATTTTTTTAATAATTTTTTTATTAAATATTTCACACAGGGAATTTTTGTTTTAAAGAAGACTTATGCTTTCTTAATTATCTAGCAATCATGTTCAAATAGCAGAAATACTAGCCATATTCTGAGTCCCTTCTTTAGTCATTACTGTCTGAAGAATACCAATATCTGATTAAATCATCTCTGCCCAGGTATTAAGCTCTAAGAAAGCAGTCTTCTAAACACCCCACACAGTGAAGGAGGGATGTTGAGGTTAACAGTATAGGTCTTAAGTCAATTTCCTCCTGGTGTGTTTTACTTCTGTCTACCGGCACACCACTGAACTTAAAATTTGGGAATACAAAAAACATCCAAAGACAAAACTCTACTTCTCTGGCACATCATTACATAAACACTAACTATGAAGACAGGAAACATCACCACTGAAGATACTATCTTAATACCATTTAAAAATGACTAAAGAGAAAAAAAACGAGTTTTGCATCTTGCCACTTGTTTGCTCAAAGTGCAAGTATTTCAAGACAATAAATATGAAAGAGTTTAAATACTTATACAGAATGATAATACTTAATATGTATTAATATACATAATACTTATGCTGAATGATAAATCTGTTCTTTCTCTTTAAGGCTGTAGATCAAGCCAAATGCACTGGTAGTCCCAAGGATTAAAAATGGACTGAGACTCAGTCTTGCTATGGACTTCCTGTGTGACCTTGGGTAAGTCACTTGAGAATTTAGTTCTCAAAAATAACAGGCCTATTATAGCTGCCAGAATGAAGCACCAAAGTTTCTGAGACCACAGGTGCAAGCCAGGTCCTGTTTACATTCGCATAACAGAGAAGAACCTACCTAGTAATTTCTCTTGAAAACAACAGGTAAAGTATGACCAGAACTTCAGGAATATTAAGCAACTGAAAGCTCATCTGGGACCATACTTCGAAAATGGGTATGAAAGCCTACATCAACCCAGAATTACTTCCATTTTTCAAGCTCTTGTTTGGCGATTTGTGTGAAACCTATCATAAGTAGACTATGATCTCCAGAAATGCAATATGTACTGTTAAATATTGGATTTACAGTGAGTGAAGCATACCATACTCTAATCAGCTTGCAATATCAATTAGTTTGAGTTTTTGAAATGACTACAAACAGCTAATGAGTTGAACGCAATGAGCTTATATTTTTGGTAAATAATAATGACTATTTAGAAATAGGGATTCTTAAGAGCCATTTGGCTCGATACTGTACTTCCAGCAGTTTCTCTGCAACAGAATACAGTTGCTCAAATATCAGCTAAAAAAAAAGCAAGCAAAACCCCACAAGCCAAGCTTCACAGAGGTTGGTTTTATTTCTTTAGCATAATAAGTTTGTCCCATACATGCTAAAAATGTCTGCCATCCCTCACTGGCATTTTAAACCCTATTATAACAGATACTTCCACATGAAGAAAGGCACTGCACTGGTATTTTTACTTCAGTCCAGCTTCTCCATCTACCACTGTAAAACTTCTGTAAGAAGAAATGAAAGGTTAATACCAACACCTGAGTCCCAGCCGGCAAGGAGGCAAAGGATGGCTGTAGAACCCTTTCCCCCTGCACTGCTGACAGGGGAACTCACTTGCAGAGAGCAAGGACCTAACTAACCACAGTCAGTAACAATGATACCAACAGGACCTGTAGTAAAGCCAAAAGTCCACAGGAAGACTCAATGGGGAGAAATTACTTGATACAAGAGAAAATGTTCAACAAAAAAATTTGGGCTGAGCTCACCTAAGTCAAATCCTCAGACTTCAACCAGGAAGTTTAATGTGAGTGAATTCTATGATCAGGAAGTCCAAGTCAGAGGGAAAGTTTCATTTACTTGCTACTTTTCATCAACCATTGCAGCATCATGTTTACCAGAGTCCCATAAGTGAGTAAAACTGTTTCAGGCAACTAATTACCTTAAAACACTCTGCTTCACAATCATTAAAATAACAAGCACTGGTTACTGAGAGAAAAATGAAGAGATAATGACATCTTAAAGCATATTCTCATTACATTTCAGTAGTTAAAATTAAAATAGAAGTATTACTTGTTTATATGAGGGAAGATTTCCCTGGTCTCAAAACAGTTAATTCAACTGTTCATGTAGACCTGTTCACTGTGCCTGGAATTTTAACTCAGGCTACATTCCTCAATTCCCAAATTGCAAATTTAAATTAATGCTGGAGTTAAAACATGATACCTAGTGAAAAGAAAGGCATGGGGCAAGAGAAGAAAGGCAGGACAAGGAATGTTGTACCCCAAGGGTCACTAACACCTGACATCCTGCCAGTAGTTAACACCTTGGAGCTAACAGAACTACGCCATGCTTTTGCCTTATTCAAAGGCACTTAAGGTCTTCCTAAAGTCCTTCCCTTTGCAACTAAACTTAATATGAAATGATTATCTAATAAAAATAGAGGAAATCTCACTGTAAAGCAAGTGAACTATCACTCCAACAAGTCAGTCAATCTACCTAACATTTTAGTAACGAATTCACTCTTACCAGGGGTTAAAAAAATCCCTGCCTCATGTATACTTCTCCTCACATATACTTGACTGTATGCAGAGTTTACTCAGTTTCATTCATTATTCTTTTTACCATTAAATATGCATCCGAAAATCTGAAGGCATACTTACTTTTCAGAACACAAATATAAAAGGTTGGTATCTTTTTAACCCTCTAGTAAGGAAAGTTTTAAGTATTTTGCTCATTTTACTTGTTTCACAGCATTGCTAAAGAACAAGATGTGTTACTTTTAGTTTTGCTATTTAATAAGAATTAAGACAACCCTACAATATACAGGAGAAATGCTAAGAAAGCAACTAATCCTGATCCTTCAAGCAACTTAGAATTTGAAAATCTTTGTTGAATCTATTTAAAGTCCACACAGGATTCATGTAGCATGGCAATGCAGATGACTGGCAAAAAAAAAAAAAAAAGAAAAAAAATCACATTGCTCTTTTCTCCTCATTTCTCTACCAAAAGAGGGGGAGAAGGAGAAAAGGTAGATAGGAAGAGACACTCCCAACCAGTGCTATGTTTCTGCTTTGTCAGAACGGTGTCACTGTCCCAACACCTTGCTAACTCCTGTATGGGGTGTTTGTGTATTGAGCAGAAGTAAGGACAATGACACAGGATAGTTTTCTTCAGGTAAGAAGTGCCAGATTTTCTTGCAAGTGGAGGCTTTAATGGCAGTGCCAATCGGCTCTTTTGCTGATCTCCCATAGGGGCCAATAAACAAGGTAGAAAATGAATCAGCTCTAGAGTTAAAAAAAGACAAGAGTGTCTTTCCAGCTGCAGTTAATGCATCAGGATGGAAGCTCTAAGTCCTAGCTCCCGAACACGGGGATGGGGGTTGGTGGGTAGAAAATAAAGTTTACAGTACAAGAACAGCTGAGTTAAGTTTATCAACAGATAAACAGAAGGAAAGTTTACAGTGTAACAACTCGATGCCATAGCCCAGTATTATTAACTGGTATACCGGATAGCAAGATCAGTCTCTCTCTAATAATCTCATATTCTATGCGAAAGTGGAGGAAAAAGGCAACTGAAACAGCAGAAATTTGATCTAGTATATATTACCAACAAGCCAGCTGCTGAAGCATCTCCTGTATGCTGATCTCTCATTAACAGAAGATACCTATAAAAGCAAAGTGCATTTAGAGACTTAGGGGAAAAAAAAAAAACAAACCACAAAACACACACACAAAAAAAACCTCTCATACTTATCCAAAGGTTAAACAGTTAACATTTTTCTAGCCATTTTCTTTAGTAAACATTTGCAAGTCAAACATAAACCCACTGCTGAGAAATGTCTATTATCCAGAATCTATTATCTAACCAACCCTGATGCTTCAATGCACAATGACTGAAGTTGGTTTTAATTCCCCCAAAAAAAGAAACAAACCCAGCCTAAGACAAGCCATTCTACAGCACAGAACTAGTTGATAAAGACTCGGAGACGTTTTATAATGAAATGGGTGCAACAATGAGGTCCAAAAGTGATGAAGATGAAAGATATCTGGAACGATACCACATCTTATACACCTTTTGTTTTCTGTGAGCGATACATGCTGCAGACAAAACGTTCTGTGCTAAAAAGCCTCAAATCTGGTTTTCTAATATTAAGCACAAAGGAAAAACACTGACAGCAAGCATGGTAAATAAATCCCTCCCTTGAGAACGAAAGCAGCAGACAGGAGGGGGCTGACATGCATGTAGGAGAAAACTAAACACCATCTTTTTTTCTACCTGCACAAGTTGCCATTTGCTGCAGTGATCAAGAATCTCTTTTCCACGTTGATTTCAAAAACCAGGGTTTCAGAAAATTTCTCTCCCAAGTCATCTGTTGATATGCTTTATGAGCATCATATTCATATCACTGGATCTTTAAGAGAAAAATCCATTTCTTTCCTGTTCAGGTAAACATGTTTACAGCTCCTGCACACACGCTGGGTGGTTCAGACTCGCATGTCACACACATGTCGTCAGCAACAAGAAAAGCCCCTTTCTCTGATCATCAACATTTTTAATAAGGTAGAGAGTAAAGCACTTTCCAAACTTACCTTTAGCACAGTCAAATCATGAGCTAAATATAAATATTTACACAGGGACAAGGAATTAATAACACGAGCGTGCAAAGAGAAATACTCGCTAGAAAACGCACAGAACAATATAAGAAAACCCTCCTAAGTTCAAAGCGACCAGATCAACTCGCCGGCCCCTGGAGAGGCCGTTATTTATCACCAAGCTACGCCCGACAGAGTCAGGATTAGAGAGGAGAGGCACCGATCGTGACTCGGAGCTATTTCAGAAACCGTTCCCTGAGTCTCGGGGAAAACGCCTCGGATCGCAAGCGAAAGCCTTCCTATCTGTGACCCTGCACAGGAAATGCCACACAAAACCTAAAATTGCCAAGGAAGGTTACAAAATCTCCTGCTTCACACCCTGTTGCGAAGAGTCGCTACGAGAGCCCAACTACTTCTCCATTTTACAGAAAACAAGTAGAGAGTGGGTGTTACGAGCGTTTATTCCCCCCCGCCGTATACCTTCCAAACGCATCTTAAAGTAACTCACGTACCAAAGGGAAAAAAAAAAAAACCAAACACAAACCCACCCCACGGCAACCCTTCAGTACGAAATGTAAATCTAATTCCTTATATAGACTGCAACAGCCGGTCGCACACGCAACGGAGCGGGGGCCCCGGCCAAACCGTTACCACCCATTATTATACAAACAGGTACCTCCGAAGCCAGAGGAAAGGCAAGAAACTTCGCCGCCCGCCCTCTCCGCCCGGGAGCAGCCCTCCCCTCCCCACCGGGGCCGGGAGGCAAGCACGGCCGCCGGGCGCCGCCGGGGACCAACTTTCGGCGGAGAGGGGAGGTGGCAAAAGAGGCGAGCGGGCGGCGGGGCTGCCGGCCCCCTCCCGTGGGCCCGGGGCGGCCGCGCAGCGCTGCCCCCGCGCGAATCGCTGCCCGCTGTGGTGACAGTGCCTCCCCCACCACCGCCAGCCCCGCTCCCCGGCTGTACCCCCCCAACCCCTCCCGCCCCCCGGTGACGGCTGGCGTCCCCCACCGCCGCTCCCCGAAAAGCGAACGCCAGCCCGCCCCACGGCGCCGGCCCGGGAGCGAGGAGCCGGCCCGCCGCCGGGAGAGCGAGGGGAACTCCGGCGGGCGGCAGAGAGAGGCACTCCCCGGCGGGCGACGGGGCGATCCCGCCCGCGAGACCGGGGGGGAGGCGGGCGGGGAGACCCTACTCCGCCGGGGCGCGCAGGTAACAAGTTTCGGAGTTAGGACTGCAGAGGCCGGCCGGGCGGAGAGAGATGCCCCACCGCTCCCCGCGGGGATTCGGTGTCCCCGCCCGGGCCGGAGGGCGGCGGCGCGGCTGGGGGGCTCCCCGAGCCCGCTCCCCGCAGCGGCGGCGGGGCGGTCGTGGGGCGTGTGGAGGAAGACAGCGTGTAACGGTCCCGGACAGGCGGCGGAGTGCGGACGCACCGCTAGGCGGAGGAGGGAGGCAGGCAGGCAGCGAAGCGAGGGAGGCACCAGGTAGCGGATATAACGGTGCGGAGGGAGCCGGGCTCCCGGCGAGGAGCGGCGGGGGAATTACTTTCGCGCCCGCCCGACCTCCCCTCTCCGCGCTCGGGACGGTTCTACCCGGCCCCCGCCCCGGCCCCGCCGCCGCCCCAGCGCGGCCGGGCCACTGCCCCGCGGGCTGACTGACCGTTATTGCGCCTCGGGTTCGCCTGCTTCCTGCGCTTACACCTGGGGCCATCCGCCATGATCCTCTCGCTTGTGTCTAAATGCTCCAGTCACCTCCTCCCCCGCCCTCCCCCCTCCCTCGCCTCCCCTCCCCCCCGGACCTGGTTTACGACACTGGGTGGTTTTACTTTTACATCACCTTCCTACACCTAGTGCTCGGCCGGAACCTTGTTGCCAGGGGAGACGGGTGCTTTACGGCAGGGCGTTTTGAATGGCGGCGGGGGAAAAGTTGCGGCTGCAGGTACCGGCAGCAGCCG